CTCTCTCTCTCTCTCTCTTTTTACACATTGTTAACGAGCCTTTGTTCCTGCTATAACCGGTTGGGCTCCGATGAGGCCGTTATTGCCGATAACTTTTAAAAGAGACAAAGAGTAGGAAAAAACGGGGATTTTTAAAATCCCTGCTATAACCGGATCCCTGTTATTACCGGGCCTGTTATATATGGTTTCCACTGTACTTGCGCCAAATGTTCAAATAACGCAAAAACAAAGACTTCGCCATAAATCCAAATAACGGGGAGAAAAAAAAACCGGAGGATTTGCGCTAATCTCAGCCGTGACGCATGGATTTTCATCTATTTTCAAAAAAATTGAGTGGCATCACTGCAACGTTCTGTCGTCTGCTTTCGACTCCTTTTTCTGCCCCCTCCCCCTTACCTCCTTTGCCTTTGCCCCCCCCTCCTCTGGGCTTCTGACTCTCTCTCTCTGCAGCTTTTGTACTGCTAGTGCCACTCCTTGGCTCCTTCTTACTGCTGTCTTTCAGCCACACCCCTGATCTTATGGTAGATTGTATTCTTGTCGGATAAGGGCGAAAAATCTCGGAGGTCCCGTGTGCAAGTTGCGCGCGTTAAAGATTCCATGGTGGTCCAAAATCGTTATTAAGAGAAGGCTTCGGCTGCCACCTGGACAAAATTCAAAATTTTCTACCAACTGAAAATGTTTAATGTGTCCCGCGCCCTCATATATGACTTTACGCAGTTGCAAGGGCCATAAAAAAAAAAAATTACCACCTCAAAAAAGGAGTAGTTTCAACATCAAATTGTCCAAAGTTGTCGTTGACATGATGTCTAAATTGTAAAATCTGAACACACCTTTATAATGAGTCAACACGACACAGCGACTGTTTCATCTTTGCTTAGGGTAATTTCAGATCAAATACTGGTTCCACAAAAAAATCTGTTGTTTCCGCTGGACGGCAATTTCAGTGTTGCTCCTGGGCAGTTCTGGATGATTGTCGGCAAAAAGTAAAAGTTGTATAATTTGAGAGAAAAAAACTGAAATGGTTGCTCTGAGAGTGCAAGTTCCTACAAAAAATCTGTAATAGCAGATATGACTGAAAATACAGTATAACACGGATAGCTCTAATTCGTCGGGACCAACCTCGGTAGTTTGAGGGATCCGTAGTTCAAAGGATGTTTTACAAAGATAAAGAAGAGGAAAAACGAGACTACATGCACAGTTTAACAGATGTGTGATTCTTCTGTGTTCGACCTATCCTTGTTATACTACTGTATTTTGGATCATGCTTTTTGTTTGATTATAATGTCATGTATACTGTTATATTGTAAACTCAATGCTGATATTTTATATGCTGTTTTTGTTGTCTTCACAATAGTGAGCATCATTTTATTGAGACTAAGGAGACAATCAGTCTTATAATAATAAAATTTTGCAACCTTACCCTATAAGCAAAGAGTCTTTGCGCATAACATAATAGATCTATGTGTTCTTTGAAGTTGTCCAGTGACAGTGTTGTTGGGAAGGTAAGGAGGCAGGGTAAAGTACATCGGTATGTCACCAGATGAGACATTTTGTTTCCAAGTATCATGGGATAATAATACACCCCAGGTCTCTTGTGTCAAAAGTCGGAGCCAGTGACCATGTAATTTTGTTTAAACTGAGAAGTTTCATTTTTCTGCAGATATTGTTTCCTTCTGAGCTGTGAGCATTTTGACCCAGGTGGTCATAATTGATGCTATATTATTGGAGTTTGGAGAGTGTTTCTGTAAAATAAAGAACATTTTTATTTGCTACCTTGAAAGCAAAGTGATGTGTTGAAGATTTATGTGGGTGGGTGGCGGGTGCACTGGTGTGGTTTGCTTCTTCTTTCCTATTCACACATCTATCGTCCTTATCTCCCCTTCTTCTTTTTTGTGTTTGTTACTCTCTTGTAACACCTCTTATCTTCTGGCGCTCACCTTTAAGCAGCTGCAAGCCCCGTAAACCTCTACTAAAAAAAAAGATTTATTTTAGAGTGGTTGGTGGGCACTCTGATATAATCATGGCTTGCTCCTTTAACATCTATCGTCCTTAACCCTATTTGTACGCCATTGTGTCATTTTGTGTACCCCCTGGGTTGTATTCTTCTTATTTTTTAATGCTGCCAGACCAAGATCTCTTTGAAACTTTCAGTATTTCTTTTAAAAAATCATTTTGACAGACTGCTGTAAAGCGTACAGATCGGATTAACAAGTAAGGATTAACAAGTAAAATTCCTCTTTTTGGAAAGTGGTGGCACATAGTTCCCCACACGGTATGGATACGATAGAGTAAAACAACGTACGGATAGGGTTAATCTCCTCCAAGGGGCTCTCATGCCCATGGTCTAGAGGTACACCAAAAAAAACGGTGCTTGCCTCTTACTCTTACTCTTACTCTTCTCTGTCAAAAGATTCGGGGATCAAACCCTGCCAGGAGCAGAAAAGTTATCTTCTAAAATTTTCTCTCTTTTGTCTTTCTCTAATGTTCTGTAGTCCTGTTCTGTCACTGTCATATATATTTATAATGTATCTCTCTGCTTTCATCACCATTTTTCCCCTCTGCCATCCTGGCCTCCTCTGTGCTTCTCCTTCTGTTACCAAGTGTTACTCTTGACTCTTTCTTCCCTACTGCTATTCCTGGCTTCTTCAAATTACTGCCGTCTTTCAGCCTTACCCCTAATCCCAGGGTACCGGTATGTAGTTAAAATCTCAATCTCACGCCTAGCCTTCTCAAAAGAACAGAACATTTCCGAGGTCCAGTGTGCAAATTGCGCGCGTTCAAGTTCCAGTGCCCAAGTTCTGTAGGTGGTCCTAATATTTTTACTATTATATATATATATCAAGAGTAGGCTTCGGCTGTCACCCTTAGAAAATTCATAATCAATTCATACCAAAACTGAAGATAATCTGATCATAGTATGACCTACATCATCATGTAATATTATAGGCCTATATTGCATTACAGGTTGAACTAGTTGAAGAGCCTGCAATCAAGCTCCTGAGTTTCATTAGTAAAGAAGATCTCATCCCCCTCCTTTTCTTAAATATGTTACTTCCTTGTAACACCTTGTTCAGCATTTTTATTACCGTACCGACTATAAATTGTGTTGCACGTGCCATAAAACTTGAAATTTAAAAAAAAACGGAAGATTAATTGAAACATTTTCTTTGTCTTTTGGACTTTCTCATTAAATTCACGAGGTTTGGCGAGTATGTAACATTAAATTACTCTCTGTAAAATAAAGTAGATATCTACATGTTCCAGAATTGTAACAACTCCCCTGGAAGTTGTTCTGCTTATCCTTACTCTGGCAGGCACAAAATATAGGGAATCATTTATATTACATGTATTCATCATAATTCAGAAGGTTAACATTTGGTCCGCTAATAATACTACATGTTATAGATTATAATTACACTTAGGCCTAGTAATTAGATTAAAGTAAATCTTTGTGGGGATACGCAGGTGGTTGGAGGGCCCATGGTAGTAGTAGCAGTAGCAGGTCCTATACTTCTCTCCCGTTCTGTGACTATCTAGTTTCTTCCGTGGACTACAGCTGCAATAATATATATAAATGTAAATAATAAATTATATATAAAATTAATGGCATATTTATAGATCTAGTGTCGATGTGCTCTTTATTCAAACAAATGCATGCGTGCGTGTTTGTGTGAGGAAGAAATAGGAGGAGGGGAGACAAGCGGTAGGAAAAAAGAACAGCACTGATCTATGATCTACAGGTAGGTCTTGTGCTCAGTGCACTCCCCATTCAATCAATTTTGTCTCGCCACTCGCCACCACACGACGAGCCACCGATCCAGAGGCAATATCATGCTGACGATTATGATGTCTATAGTGCCAGATCAAGGCCACGCCGGGTCATTGTCAGGGCCGCGTTGGCTGTTTAGGCTGTAGCCTAGGGCCCCGCGCCTCAGGGGGCCCCGCGCTTGCAAACACGACGTTTAAAAAATGTTTTTCAACAAAAAAAATTGTCCTCTTGTTGAATTGTTGTTGTTGTTTGTTGTTTTTACAGTTGTTGTTGTTATTGATGTTAATGAGAAGGATGTTGATGCTACCGCTGTTGCTGTTGTTGGGGCTGCTGTTGATAGGTTTCGGCTGCCTCATACTTTGTAACAGAAATAGATAAATGTGCTTGTCGTCGTCTTAATCCACATTATTGGTGGATACCGGTAGGCCTACATCTAATCACGTTTTACAGTATAGCTTTCCATCAGTATGGGGCTACAATGCGGTAGTAGCAGCATCAACGTCATCGAGGGGCCCCGGCCCCGCGGCTCATGGACAGCCTAGGGCCCCGCCCTTAGTTAACGCGGCCCTGGTCATTGTCATTGACTGGAGGAATGCATCAACACCGAAGTGCATCCAGCTTTTCCCATATATTATATATCCCTTCCGGGAACGCACATGCTTGTCCTTTTGTTTTACGATTTAGTCGAGAATTCGACCGCTTTCTTAGCTGAACATGTTTATCCGAATGCCTGCTATAAAATAGTATTTACATACATGTATATTATATAATAAAATATCAGACTCGGGGTTTTGTATATATATATATATATAAATAATAAGCCCGCTAGCTCTATATCCGGAATCCTGTTATAACCGAGACTGCAATTGTGGGGGCCCACTGTAGTGGTTAATACCACACACACTCGACTCTCTCTCACCCGCAGGCATTCTCTCTCTCCCTTCCCCTCTCTCTTTCCCAAACAAAGAAACTACCCCCCCCCCCCTCACCCACCCAACACACACACACACACACACACGCACACACACACACACACACACACACACACACACACACAGACTCGCTCTATGTAACCCGCGCACGCAAGAGCAGACTATCACATTCTGAGCCCACAGTTGAGAGAGGCCCAGGTTTGCGCGCGCCCATTCAGTCTGCCCCACTAGGCCTAGATCTAGTAGAATGTCATCAATCGTCAACCAGCGGGGGAACACAAGCCGCGCCGCAGCACACGTCACGCGGGCGGGCATTGAGGTTGGAATGAGGGGGCTAGTGTGTGTAGCCAAGTTCGTTCGTAGTTTCGTAGCACAGTAGACTTGAGTAGACCCAGGTTTTCGAAGAAAGGGTTAAAGCGGCTGGTGTGTACTGTTGTAGTGTGTTACTGTTAGTACAATTCGCGTCTAATGTGTGGCACGGTCTCATAGATCGCTCTACTCTCTATTGTCTCGATAGTATCAGTAAAGTGACTAAAGTCATAGCCCTGGCCAAGGTCTGACGAATTCATTCTAGCCTACTCTTCGTCTGATAGATCTAGACACGATAATATCTCCCAGCTCCAAATCGTCGTTCTCATCGAGAATTCAAAATGGCAACTAGATCTACGCAGAGAAGAAAACGCATTGCACTTGAAACGAAAGTGGCCATTATCGAGGCTGCCGATCGGAGCAATAGCACAAATGCTCAATTATGTCGAGATTTTGATCTACAATCCAGTACTTTGTACACGATTTTGAACAACAGAGAGAAGATTATGAAGGCTTATGAACAAGGCGATTTTGACGGTAACCGCAAAAAGTTGAGGACCTCTGACTTCGTCGACGTGGACAGAGCTTTGTTGAAATGGTTCAAGCAAGCAAGGAGTCAAGAAGAGCCCATCTCAGGACCAGTATTGATAGAGAAAGCCAAGGTGATAGCAAAAGGCCTCGGAACATCCAATTTCTCTGCAAGCACGGGATGGTTAAATAGGTTCAAGTCTCGTCACGGAATCCTTTTTAAAAGTAGCGGTACAAGTGTCAGTGGTGAGTCTGCATCCATCAGTTACATTACCGAAACAACCAAGAACCGAAAGGAGATGTGTGTGAAGAAAGCTCCCCACGAAGAAGACAACCAACCCTGTGACATCCCCAACGTCGACAGAATTTCAACTGATCAGGATCTGTACACATGCCAGCCTTCTCGCACGCTGACAAGGGAGTGGGAAAGTTGCTCAACTGAGTACGAAGAACCAAATGATAGAAGAACCCTTTTCGTTGCGACCAGTGGATCTGATCGATTACATGAACATCAAAACGAAGAGAACGACCCCATTATTCAACCCGTCACAAGCAGAAGTGCCTTGGAAGCCGTTGCAACGCTACGTCACTTTCTACTGCAACAGGAAGACTGTGCTTCTCTCATAAAAGGCCTTGAAACGTACGAAACATGCATCCAAACCATCGCTACAGACGCCAAAAATAGGAAAAGTCAACCGACAATTATGTCGTTCTTCGCCTTCAAAAACAAAGATGATTGAGTCCAGGAACCCTCTACCGCCACCCTCACTGTTCACGTTCTTCCCCGACCCCTTTACGGCCTCCCCCTCCCCACCACAGATCAATTTAGGCACAGGGAGGGAACAGAGTCCGAATGACGGTCTTAAAATCAAAGGGAGGTAAACGTTTTTAAAGCCTTCAATACAAGGCACTTGGCTGTTGTCTCCCTTTTTTATGCAATAACCGAGACACGGCAATCCGGCAATAACGAGTTACCATAGCGTACTTCACGGTGTACATTTATGCATCTCTCTTATCATTGTGGAGTTTGACTGTAATAATACATTATACAAACATAGACTTTTATACCGGTACATGCTTCAGCGGACTCCGTTGTATAAAATTATAAAAATCTAAAAATATTCTTTTATAACATGCACGTACCTGATCAAGGGGGCTCAATAGAAACATAATAGAATTTAAAAAAAACAGGCCTACTACTATGTAATTTGTAAAGGCATGCCTTCTAAAGAAGGAAACAAGTACCAGTAGTTGAAGAATGCTGTCTCGAGTTGACAAACTATGATACCAGTACTTAATTAGTCCTTTCATTGAATATAATATCTTGCTTCAAGTCTCACGATTCCCCAGACTGATCTATTGCACACGCAGGCATACGTAACCCTCATACTCTTAAATATAATCAAATTGCATGACAAATGACCACTAGAGTGATTGTGCTATTGTCCTCTGTGTGTGTGTGTGTATGTGATGGAGGGAGAGAGAGAGAGAGAGAGAGAGAGAGAGAGAGGGGGGGGGGTATTATGTTAATGTTTGGCCCTTAATAATACACCCAAGAGCATGTCTGTAAAATGCCGTAGTAATTATGACAAAACATCATTGATATTACATAATTATATTAGGACAGATCTATAGCAACAAGCGAATCGTATGATAGATCGATCTCTGTAATAACTTTTTTAAGACAGTCCACCCACCACACTTCCATTGAATCTCAGATTTCATAAACCAAGTTCACAACTCGCTGCGTCGCAGGAGATAGAGCAACAATATAATTTACTGCTGCCAGTTCAAGTGCCTTGAGGCAGTCTATGGCAATTTCGTGTGACCTGTCGTGTAGGCTCTTAAAATATTTTTAAATTTAAAATAAAAAGAACGTAGAATCCGAGTTCGTTGATTCCGAGTTCCCCTGTAATGACTTGCAGCTACCAAAAATCCTTTACCTGGAATGGGAGCTGGCAGCATTCCTATACATGTATCTGTTGGTGATAAAGATTTAGGAAGGCATGAAAACCTTATGCGATCCTATGGAAAAATGTTGGGTCATTGCAAACGTGTACGGTGTATTCAACTATCGACTTAGCGGAACAAGGGTACAGAATGTGCATTCGCATTTTATCCAAAAATTGGAGAATATTTCATTGACATCTCAACGTCAAGGCATGGAACTGGCTAAAACCACACACGCCTGTTGATTTCTTCATAATTATGTCAGAGAACGGGATGATTTTAAGTTTTAATCTCGAAGATCACACTCACAGTGGTTGGCCTGGAAGATACAAGAACAGAACGAACGAGGGAACAAACCGGGAAACTAATTATTATTCGTAAAGCTTTCCAGTGATTTTTGTGTGGTTTTGTTGTTATTGTTGTTGTTGTTGTTGTTGTTGTTGTGTGTGTGTGTGTGTGTGTGTGTGTGTGTGT